GAATAAAATCGCGTATAATAGTGCGCAATATTATTAGTACTTTAAAAATTTACATTAGTTTTTTGAGAAATCGGAAGTAGCGTAAATTACTACTTCCAGTCAACGGAAATGACTCAAAATTTAACAGAAGGTAGAGAATTAGATCTTTTACTTACATGTGAAATTTCATTTATCTATCTGAAATAGTACTCAAGTTATAGGCTTTTAAAAAATTCAAAGTAGGAAAAGTACCACTTCCGGTTATCGGAAATCGCTCAAAAGTTGATACGGATCTACGATTTTGATAAAATACTTATATATGAAATTTCATCAACCTAGCTGTAACGGTACTCAAGTTATCGTGTTTACACACGGACAGACACACAGACACACACACACACAGACATACGGACAAGATTGCAAAATTATGTTTTTCCGTATCAGTGAGGTGTAAAACGTCGAGATTTGTAAAAATCTCGATTTTTTTTTTTTGCACGATTACAATACTTTCTCTATACTACGTATATACGAGAAAGTAAAAAACTCTGTTTACAGTTTGATTTAAAAGTCATGTATTAAACTGTATATATGTTTTTGCTGAAGAATTGTAATTTACAATTAAATTGGTTTAATTTTTATTCCACTAATTGAAAAGATAAATACATTATTTCTATTTGGTTGTGGTTAGAGAGCAATCTGAAACCAATCTTGTCATCAGTAAGGTCGGCCGTGTGATGATGAAGGAGATTATCTCGAAACATCTCTAGCTAATCCTTTAATCTCGATACGTCACTTCATTACCTACCTGCGGTGTGGATTACAGTAGGCAGGTAGTCGAAGGCAACGTGAGACTAACGACAGTGCACGCTAAAGGTCGCTACATTTTTTTTCAAAGGTCACAATTTAAAAAAATACATGTATGACCAATAAATGACCATATATGTTTATGTCACATTTATTTTAGTTTTTCTGCAGTTACGAAGTTTTTAGCGCAAGATTTGATTTTTGTCTAGAATTGTGCAATGGGGCGTGTCGTGTTTTTAGCGGGTTGTGTTTTAGTTAGTGGTGTATTTTAATGATTGGTGTTCTATGATCGTGTGGTGTTTCGAGAGGTGTGTTTGCGCATATAGAGGTGTATTTGAGTTATTATGTATCATTGATTAGGTGCTGTTTTAAAGTTATGTTCGTGTTTTGATTGGCGTTTTTGAGTGATTGTTTCTCTATGATCATGTGATGTTTTGAGAGGGGTGTTTCTTTATGCATATAGAGGTGTATTTGTGTGATTATGTATCTTTGATTATGTGCTGTTTTGTGTTTGTTTATCTCAGATCACGTCGTGTGGGTGTATGGGGGGGGGGGGGGTATCTGAACGATCATTTCTCTTTGATCGTATCTTGTAATTGGCCAGTATTTTGATGTTTGTTCATTGGCTGTAACCACGTGGGGGAGGGGGGGGATATCAAGGTGACGGCTCAATACGATTGTCTATCATTCGTTAGTAGGCCTATAGCTTTCAAGTGTGAAACGTATTACTTTGTTGTTGTTAGCGATGTCTGCTTTCCGACTACCCCTGTATTGTGATTGTTAGGGTAAAGGTTGCTGTCACGTGATTGGGTTAAGGATACAATTTATTTCAAGCCACTAATGAAAGAGTCGTGGGCCCATATGTCTTGGGCACGAAAGGGAAAATATGATGAATGAAGCAATCACAGGGTATTGTCGATGGCAGCCGTTTCTGTATGATTTTGTTTGACATAGGTTCCAATTTTCATGCTCAACAGCTGCATTCATTTGACACTAACCTGTTTGTGTCACCAATTATAATGTATTATCTGTGAAAACGGTGGTAAAGCTAATGGTTGCTATACCGGAAAGAATCGAGTTCGATTTCCCGGGCAGATGAGTTTATTTTTAGATGGACAAATGCTATGTAAGCAAATCAACACAATCGGAGTCAACGGCCTATATGGCGTATAAAAAGTTGACACGTAATACTTAATTGTATTGGAGGAAATCCTTCCCAAACATTACAATAATTAAGAACGAAGAAGAAGAAATACACATATTTCCTTCATACCGGTCGGGTTTACTTTAATTAGCCTACTTAATTTACAGATTATATGTAGTTATTCAGAACTTAACCAAATGTTGACTAAGCATTGCCTCATTAACTGACCAACTTGCGATGTATTAAAAACCATTCAGTGTAAGTAGACTGTTGCACCAGTAAAGGCGATAACTTCTATATCTGTTCGATGAATGTTGATCCATTAAATAAGATAATTGTACATTTCTTGGGCATATCCCCCAGTCGCATGTCGCTGTGTTAATGCCATACAGTGCCGACGCCAGGTTATTTAGCGCCCTAGGCAAAACTTATTAAAATCGCCCCCCCCCCCCCCCCCGCCGCAATTTATTTTCGTACCCCCGTATTATCAGAAGCGCCCGGAGACAAACTTTCGATTTGCACCCCCCCCCCCCCTCAAACTTTCAATTTGGTTTTTCAACCCATTTTGGCGCCCCTACGGACAGCGCCCTAGGCGACCGCCTAGTTCGCCTTATAGGTAGCGCCGGTCCTGATAACATCTAGCTCTAATCAACTGTCTCTAATCAACATGAAAGCTGCTAGCCATTCTCTGCTCTCGTCCATTCAACACCGTTTCCGTTTGGCTTCTTTGAAGTTAACATTTTAAAAAAAAATGTCAGCTTCCGTTATTTTTTTTTTTTTTTTTTTTTTCCCACGTTTTCTTTAACTTGCTTTCTCTGTGTGTTTATTTGTTTGTCTTTCCAATCAAATCTTGCGATCGAAATTTCTGGCACTTCCCAGTTAGCTAGCGCGCTGAAATTTTCAGGGAAGCTTTCGTTTGGATGACCATTGAATATTCAATTGTTATTATTACTAAATTGATCAATGGAAACATTTTATTGAGCATTTTAGACCGCTATATAATCTATATATATAATTCTCCTCTGCTAGCCATTAGAAAAAAAACCAGCGACGCGTACCTCGCGCGCAGTGAAGCGAACGATCACATGTCGCCACAGGCTTAGGGGCAGAGAATTTAGCTTGAACCGAGATTAAACTTACAGGAGGTAGGCCAGTTTGGGGGAGACGATATGGTCGAGTGGTTGGGCACACGATTGCTATCCCACTCGACACGGGTTCAAATCTATGTGTTCTAGTCAGTAACGTATTCAAACAACGTGTTTTTTACGAGTTGTCTTTTTACGAGTTGTCTTTTTACGAGTTGTCTTTTTACGAGTTGTCTTTTTACGAGTTGTCTTTTTACGAGTTGTCTTTTTTACGAGTTGTCTTCGTTTACCCAAAAAAAAGTGAAAAGATAAAATCGATAGCAAGATTTTAATGCAAACAAACAGACAAAGACTAAAAAGTAGAAAATAATAATCATTAAAAAAGTTTTAAAAAACCCACGTTTTCTGATTGAACTAAAAAGTAGAAAATAAATGCTATAGGCCCTACATCACAATAATGCAAGCGATCACTCTACTATAAGCGAGCAAAAACGTGGGGCGCCGTGATTTTCTTACAGTTTCTAATACTGTTGACTCTCTACAAGCTCCCTAATAAAAGTCAATAGTATTATCTAATCAATAGTAATATAACTTTTACTTCGGCGCCCCACGTTTTTCATCGCTTATAGTAGAGTGATCGCTTGCATTATTGTGATGTAGGGCCTATAGCATTTATTTTCTACTTTTTAGTTCAATCAGAAAACGTGGGTTTTTTAAAACTTTTTTAATGATTATTATTCGATGTTCAAGCTATGAATTATCTGGCCATTACGAGGAGAGAAAAAAACGAAGCTGATGAGCATTGAATTCGTCTTTTCTAGGCATTAGGCGAATATTTCATGAGCTAACACTTAGATACATGTAACTATACTCACCCATCCCGTCTCCTATAACACACACACGTTAAACCACCCACCCTTTTCCACTCTACCACACACCCCGCTAACTCTACCACACCACCTTCCCCACACCCAAAACTTCACCTTGACCACCCACACCTCGTCACCTCTACCACCCATACTTCAACAACACCATCACACCCATCCCGTCCCCCATCCCTCCCTACATCGCAAACACACCAACCAGTATAACATGAAGCTTACACATAACCTACACGTTCTTTGTCTTCCTCTGTCTGTCGTCATTCTTGGCATACAATCACACATATGTTTGTATATGGTAACACGTAGAGCTGGCGTGGAAAGGGTGTGGGGGGTGGGGGTGAGGACAATTTGGGCCGTTGTCTCAAGTCAAGCTCATCAAGGTGACCCAGCGCTTCAGTATTGAGGGCGTCCTAACCTTATCCATAACCATTACTATAGTCATCGATAGGGGGTAATGTCCTACTGTAGTTTTATGAGGCGGGATTAGTTTTCAAGTGGTGGGTGGGTGTTACCTGACAGGGGTAGTAGAGCTGGGCGTAATGTAGGTGGGGGGGGGGGGCTGTAGGGGGGTTGGCCGGAAGGGGTAAGTGACAGGGGGGGGATGCCTTGCTCCCATACAGAGCATATATAGAGAGATTACATTAGTTCCCATAAAGCATATCTATTTGTGTAGCTAGATAAATAATTAACAGTACTTATGTAACTACTACTAGCCTAGCTGGCTCAGTGAACTACTAGACTCTACCTTTAAAGTCGAAATTCATTGACTTTACATCGAATACAGGCCTCGCCATTGTGTAGATGTGTTCTGTCTATTTTAGCAACACTGTTCATGCGGTACTTATGGGAAACATAATATGTAACGCCAAACCAACCCCCCCCTCTAGTATTGTTAGTTTATCAAAAGGCAGAACAGATAAGCTTACCCCAGGCGTCTGCCCCTATACAACAAGACGCTAATCTCGATCAATGCCCAGGCTAAACCGGCTAGATTAAATGATCTGATAGACAGCTGTTGTTTTATCAAGGGGGACTACTCCACCAGGAGTTACAACCATTCAACCGTAGCACCAGGCAATGTTGTTGGTAATTACAAAATGTCCCTGAGACTTTAATCTCAGTGTGGGACAATCTCCAATGCAGTAAAAAGTAACCGATCACTTTGCAGGTGTCATTGTAATATTGTGTGTAGTCTTTTTATTGTGTTGAAAATGATAAATTACAAAATAAAGAACTATCAAAAAGCAACATTGCAAGCAGTTTATAATAAGTATAGATTATTTTTAGCCTAAATCGTATACAACGCAGGGTTCGCCATTGTTTATGAAAATCAATCATTTTTTAATCAGCGTCGAAGATTTAATCAGACCAGGCCTAGTTCATCCGACACAAAAACCTAGACGTCATTTTGCAGTCGATGGCACAATCAGAAAGAGTTCCTCTAATAGCCACTGCCGTGGGATGGAATCAGGAAAGATTCACGATAATATATTTCGTATGAAGTTTTCGAACGCACGGATGTAAAGCCTGTCACAGTTTTGAGGCTCTAGATAGGTGAGTTTTTGCATTTAACTGAGCGTATATACATATATATATATATATATATATATATATATATATATATATATATATATATATATATATATATATATATGTATATACATATATATGTATGTATATATATATAGGCCTATATATATAACCTTTATATAACCTTGAATTAAAGTGTAGAAAAAACACGTCACCCTAATTTTCATACGCTCACGAGTTAATATGCGTTCTTTTGATTTCTAAGGAAACTAGAATAAATTAGGTTAATATATAATTCTGATATAATTCAAATGTTTAACATAGAAAAGTTAAACATTTGAATTATATTAAGCTCGGATGAAATATTGTTTGAAATAGTTATGCGTTAAAATATGTTGACTTTCATAAGAGCAACGACTTGAAATGTATTACCTGCCTCAAAACGTTAAGAAATGTGATCATGAATTTTCTTTGTTGCGTTTCTCTTATTCTTATTTTTGTATTTATCGTATGGTATTTTACAACCTACTAGGAAACAAACTGACTCAATGATATAAGCCAAATGACTCCCCCCCCCCCTCCCCCACTACGGCCAATTACATTTTATTTTAATAGTGATAACTTTAGTATTTTTTTCCAAGCAAAAACTGCCATTTTACATTTAGACATAACGAAACGCTACAAACTATTCTAAAACAATTGACAATTCATTGTCTTTTATTATTTCAAACACTTTTCATTGAGGCACAGCGGTGGGTGAAACAGAATATTTAAAAAAAAAATTCAGCTGAAGACCTTTATATCCATCGTGTCCCCGAAAGTTCAAATTACCTTCCCCCTTCTGTGGGTGGAAGGGGGGTGGGGTGGAAGGCACCTTGATTTCAAACAGTTTTTTTTTTGCATTCATTTTTTGCTGTTAATTGAAATGGTTGACTTGTTGTTATTTTGGGGGATCTCTTGGTTTTTCCCATTAGTATGTTCTTATTTCTAATGTTTGTGGATCTATACTAGTCATCTGAATTTTTATTTTGTCCTCATTCTCCATCTATTTTCCTGTGTGCCCTTATGATGGTTTAGCAAATCTCATTGTAATCTCAGGATCCAACTACCGCTATTACGTCACGTATCGTACGACACCCAATATCCACGTGTGTCCATTACTGTTTCCGGTGTGGTCTCCAAAGAAATCCCAGTAAATAGTAACTCTTACAATGTTTATTTGCTTAGCCGTCTGCAACAAAATCTCCTCAATACATATTTGTCTTCTTGTTTTAAAAACCATACGCCATAATTCAATAACCGCATACCTTCGCGGAGCGTAGCAAAACCGTGTTCTATAGAATCTTTTGACTCGGTGGCTTAAACTGCACGCCGGTCAAAACAAAAGGATTCGTAAAGTTTTCGGTAAATAGACACACCAGTGTTCCTATCTATTCAAACAGAAATCCTAAGCCGGGTGTACACGCGTTCATACGGGCTTGCACCTGATTGATTCGTGACTTGTAACAGATCAATAATCTTTTTGGTAACAATTTCAAAGTTTGGCCCAGAAGCCGGGAGTCGCTATGTTGTCATTACGTCAAAGTCGTTTGGTTCTGAATAGGATATAAAAACGTGTCCCACTTGTAGTCCGATTCACCGTAAAGCCGGTGTCCCACTAGTTTGTTAACTCGCGGGATTGGAAACATAATTGAGAAGTTTATGTTTCGTATGGACAGGGAACTAAGCAAACGCTGGCTCGTTTATAGGAGAGTTCGTTTATTAAGATATAGGGACAAGTGGGATGGGAGGTACGTAATATTAACTGCAATATTACAGGTATCGGAAGAGAAGGGGCAATAGGTAGCAGTTCGATTCGAGGACTGAGGAAAGTGGAATGGGGAATGAAAAATGTGGTGAGAAGTAAGGGAGGTACAATGTGTCGGAGTTTCCATCTGGTATCTCTTTGGAGACCCCCCCCCCCTCACCCTCCGAAGCACATACACCACCCCAGCCCACTTTGAACGGGATATATTTTATATAAACAATATATGCTTTAACCAGTGTCCGCCCCCCCCCCCCCCCAAACCCCACCCGAAAGTTTCAAGAGTGCCCCGGAGAAAATTGTCTGATAGAAACACTGATGGGGAGTAGAAATTAGGGGCTAGGGAGTAAGGGAGGTGCAATGGGGAGTATACATTTGAGGTGGGGGAGTAAGGGATGCAATAGGGTGTAGAAATTTGAGGTGGGGTGTAAGGGGTGCAATAGGGTGTAGAAAAGTGAAGTTGGTATGGTGGAGTAGGAAAGGTGTAAGTGGAATGTGAGGTATCATGGTGAGGTTGGAAGAGATGTTAGATGTAGGAAGTTTGAGGTTGGGTGTACGAAGTGGGAGGTGGGGGTGTGGTGTAGGAAATGCGAGATGTCGTATGAATGAAGGTTGGGTCATGTGACCTATTTGGGTGTGGCTTGTGAGTTGTAGGAGGTGTCAATGAGATCCCGTTAAAATTAACGGTTGAACCGGAAGCACTCTCAGAAATCAAATCAAGTGATTATAAGCCAGTCTCCAATTTCGGAAATAGCTTCAGTATGTTGTCACCACTCATGCAATTTAGCAAGGATGGAAATCGACCGCTTGATAGCGTACAGACCAGCTGCTCTACTCGCTTTATATTACTTTTTCGACTTCACAGAGAAATTTTTTTAGAGAAAATGAAATTTAACACTGGCGGCGATTTTAAAAAAATAGTGTATTTTGGCGATATTGCGTTTATGCGAACTTAACTAAACGCTAGCTACCGGGATTCACCGCAATAAAGTAAACGCTGCTTGATTTCACTTTCTCCAGCGGTGTGGAGAAAATGGTCCGTCTTTATCTGTCTCTTTGAGAAGGCGAAACGAATGGGAATGATATTCCGCTCACTAATTGTGCAGAGGGTGCAGCGAGTACATTCTTGTATTGTTGGCGTGGACATAAAATACAGCCACACAACCACACGGGGACATAGAGCAGGACCTCCAAAGGAGCAGGACAGTTGTGTGGACATTAAGTACAGTCACACAACCACACGGGGACATAGAGCAGGACCTCAGTAGGAGCAGGACAGTTGTGTGGACCTAAAATACAGCCACACAATCACACGGGGACATAGAGCAGGACGTTATTGGAGCAGTGGTAGATGTTGTAGAGCAGGATAGAAGTAGAGAGCAGCGCAGCAGTTCTAGTCAATCAAATATACTTTGCTTTTTTAAGACAGTTTTGCTTTTAATAAAGTATTTCTTTGTGAAGCACGTTTTGGGGAGTTGCTTTAAAAATGGAAGTAAGTATATTTTATAGTTAACGTGAGTTGTAATCTACAGGACACGACTTAATTAGACTAAACATTGAATAGTAATTAATTATCAATATCCGACATGTGTTTTTAATTTGATATTAATTTGTATGGATTGTCTTTCCACGTAAAAAAAAGTTATACTACTTTAAACTTGAGTAAATGTAATTTATACAAACTTATCATTCATCAAAATATGTAGGGTTGGTCTAAAGCAAAATGACATTCTTCATTAGGTCGTCATTAAACAACAAAATACAATTGTAAAATTTATCAAAAATACCTGAGGTTAGATATTATTATAATAATAAATAATAGAATAAATACGCCCATAACCCTTATTCGGGTAGTTGAGGGCTAAGCGACCCCTACCCCTAGCCATGCCTGACCAATCTAGGTGGCTCACCTTGGTCACGAAAACTTGGCTGTTAAAGTTTGTCTTGGAACTCTTGCTGCCTGGGAGGCCATACGCCCAGTGGTGCCGTGTTAGCATCAGTTGTTTGCTTCTTGAGTTTCTCTCTAGATGAGTTGCTGTCCCCAGCTATTAACCGTGCCGTCGCCAGGTTATTTAGCACCCTAGGCAAAACTTATTAAAACGCCGCCTTTTCCATAGATTAATAAAATATACGTAGGTATAAGAAAACAATTAATTAAAAGTGACATATTAATTTATTATCAACGAGCCGACCCCCGGTGTATCGTACGCCGCTATTTAGATGTTGTTTTTTCTACTTTTCAGTAATTCATAATTTGTGAATTCGACAGTACCAATGCTGCCACTGAAAATATTTGCTTTAAAACACTAAACCCCCCCCTCCTCCCCCTCCCCCCGTGAAAGCAACCTCCTCTTAGTTATCTCCTCTAAGTTTAAAATCGTTTCAAACTAAATTGTAAAATGTAAACATTTAGCGTGAACCACAGCTCACCAGACCATGTGAAGGGGTGGGGGTGGTAGCGATAGAGAGGAAGAGAGGGGACTGCAAGGCGCGCTTGCAGCTTGTTTTCTAACGTCTCCCAGAAGAGAATTATATGTATACGAGCCGACTTGCGGCGTATCATACGCCGCTATTTAGTTGTTTTATTTTCTACTTTTCAGTAATTCATAATTTGTGAATTCGACAGTACCAATGCTGCCACTGAAAATATTTGCTTTAAAACACTACCCCCCCCCCTTTTCCCCTAACCCCGACTCTACCCCCCCCCCCCCCCCCCCCCGTGAAAGCATCCTCCTCTTAGTTACCTCCTGTAAGTTTAAAATCGTTTCAAACTAAATTATCTGCCCCTAATAGCCGTCACTAAACCCGTCTCTACGATTTGTAAACATTTAATTTAGCGTGACCACAACTCACCAGACCATGTGGGGGTGGGGTGGGGGTGGCAGTGATAGTGATAGAGAGAAAGAGAGGGGACTGTAAGGAGGCGCTTGCAGCTTGTTTTCTAACGGCTCCCAGAAGAGAATTATATATATAGATATATAGATTGCATACACGTTATAAGTAGACATCAAAATCAAATTTTACTTGCCTCCTTCCAGTGGCGGAACTAGAAAAAAACGGCTCCCCCGCAAAAATAATTTTTAGCCCCCCCCCCATATATATATATATATATATATATATATATATATATATATATATATATATATATATATATATATATATATATATATATATATAGCATCATTAAATTTGAAATTAAACTTTTTCTCAATTAATAACCATCCTGAGATAACAAAACAGACATAACTATGTCCAAACGGTTCCATGACAAATGATCTCAGGACAAATGATCTCAGGACAAATGATCTCAGGACAAATGATGTCAAGGACAAATTATCTCACGGACAAAAGATACCAGGACAAAACATATCAGTACAAATGATACCATGGACAAATGATCTCAGACAAACTAGAATCTATATCAGATAAAATATCTGACAGCAAAATTTTAAAAGTGTGTACGATGATTTTAGTTTATTTGAACTTTTAAAAAAAGTTTAATATTGCAATCTACAACGGCTGCTGATGTATTTGTTTTTCAACTTGATAATACTAAAAAAAAACTACCAAACTATTTTGTTTAGAACTTCTGCTCAATAATAATACAATAGAAAGTAAAAACTTAAAGTTGTATTTATATGTAAGGTGTCAACCTAAAGTGCAGGAATTTGAAATGAATGTAAAGTTAAGCAACGATTTATCTCCCATTTGAATATCTAAATATTAAAATTTTATTCAAGGGAAATAACTTACAAAAGAATAGCTAAATTAACCAAGTGTAACTAAGACATGCTCAGAAAACACAATAAAACGCTCTAAATTGCATTACGTAATAATTATAACAACTATTTTATAATAGCTATGTAGACTTGTGAAAACAATATATTTTACTTATTGAATACTTAACTGTAGGTTCTGTTTGAAAGTTTAAAAACGATAGCTTTATTATAACATATTTTTATTCAAGTTTGATGACATGCAATTCAAAGTATTGTGTTATCGATAACATCGTCTAATTGTAAGTTCTAGGCATTGACATTTTTTTGTCTTTATATTTAGACGTTTTGTATTAGTTCTATGAATAAGTAAACCATCTTAAATAAATGAAAGCAGGCTAAAAGTAAGAAAGAAATATTACTATTGTAAATCAGTATCAGTCCTCACAAGCCGATGATGAAAACTGTAATACTAAAGCGAACACAAAACTGTCGCTATAAATTACGTGTCTGAGGCGGGAAAAAAAAAAAAAAACTATACATTGCCATTGCTAGAATTATGGATTAAATATTAAAAAAATTATAATTTGAAAAAAACAAAGTTTACGGTTAGTTATAAATTACATCCTGTTTAATATTATATATTAATACATTAATAGTGGTAATATAAATTCCTAAAAAATAAAGATTTTTCAACTAAAGAACGCCAATCTTTCAGTACTGAATTGAAATCATCTAACTAACGATAAACTCGACTACTCAATATACTCTACTACATTCACAACACATATCAAACTTCGATACCTAAACATAACTAGACTTGAAGGGAAGTTGAAGATCTAGAACTACATCACTACCTCGTTGAACTTCACCAAGCTCTACAAACAAACAAGCTCCTAATCAACAACGATTTCACTGGACCTACTACTACAATTTTACAGCCAATATAATTCGATACCTTAATACCACAAGAATCGATACTCCCAAACTCCAGAACTACGATACTTCATCACATGCATTCTCATTTCTCTATTACCTATCAGACTTTTCTAGACCTTCAACTACAAAACACCGAATAAAAATTATGACACTTTAACACTTTGATACTTTATACCTACGTAACTATATCAGCAACAGCCTTCCGCCGTTACTCCCTAAATCAAACGATTCATCAAAACGTACCAAACAAGTACAATACTTTGAACACCCCGTCATTACAAAACTCTGTACACCTGGACACATTTCAGAGAAAACGAGACTCACAAGCCCTCTTAAAATTAGATAACCGTTTGTAATGTTCGAAATTTAAGTTACGAACTTATTTAATCGTTTTCTACATCAATTATGTGACACAAAAATACAAAGGCAAAGTGACTGGTAAAAATCGCCCCGACCTTTCCAAATTAGTGAGGTGGGGTTGCATTTTCACCTTCGCGAATAAATATAGGCCTATATAGACCTAATTTAGCGGTGGGGGTGCAAAATTGATAGTTCGTCCTTGGCCCCGAAATAGATCGCTACTCCTTTATAAAAGTTATTAATTATTAGATACTTTTTGATAACAGCGATTTAACCTTTTTGCGCCCCACCCCTATGGATGGCGCACAAGCCGACCGCCTAGTTCGACTTATAGGTAGCGCCGGCCCTGGCTATCAAACATCATCTGCCCCAGGGGTTCGACCCAGAGATGAATACATGTAAGAAATAAGAAAAAATGTAAATCAATATCCAAATTTATTCCAATAATCAGGGTTGCTAAAAATTTTTTGTTTGTTTTATAGATAGACTTATCTCTTTACAAAACCCTTAATCCTCTAAATCCGTGCACGGATATTTTTAGCAAAATTGTTATCTTTGTTTTCTACGGTGTCGTCAATGTCAGACGCATACATTTTGTTACAGTAAAATTTTTCCACAGACTTTAATCGTTAATTCTGACAGACTCAATGACAGATGATGTATTTTGGTTTACCACTTAATTTCGTGCTAGCCTGATTTATTATATGCACTAAATTACCTGACCGACAGGCACGTAACTGTTTATTTCCGGCATCGCTGATGCTTAAGAGCATGTCTACCTGTTCTATTCCCCCGAACGATATAGAAATTTAGTAATCCGACGAAGTTACAGTAAAGTAAAGTTTCCTTTTCAGACCTGAAGGTCTATGCGGCAAGTGAAGTAGAGTTCACTTGTTTCTGTGAACTCGGCATATGAAAGGATAATGTGGTCAGCGCTATGCCCAGCCGCCTTTACTTTCCGTAATATGAGTTAGGTACCCATCAGAGTTGGGTGAACTCAGGGACGGTCTACTGACTTGAACCCGGATTCGAACTCGAGACTTACGAGTTAGCAGTCCAGCTCTCTACCGCTAGACCACTCCGTCCCTTTAAAATTTTTTTTTTCGTGATGTGTCTCGAACCCATACCACCCGCATGGTAGCCATTACACTACCATCTTAGCTGTAGGGGCACCCCGACGAAGCTACATTGAGCGAAATTTCTTGGAAAACAAACCCACAGACATGCTTTGTTTAATGACAATTCTGAGTGTTCATCGCTTTATTTTCAGCTTGTTTCCCCACCAACCCTAGACGGTCAACATGGCTACAACGATGACCAGCCTGCTACGTCAGCGTGGTCACCCCAAGCTGATACGTTTTGACCACAGCCAAGTGTACTTCGAGAACGATCGCTTGGACGCTGACCTTTCCTATGACATCAGTAAGTTTCCTGTTTGAGGCCAGCCTTATGTTTTTTAAGATTTGTTCTGGTAGTGTGTGTGTGTGTATGTGTGTGTGTGTGTGTGTGTGTGTGTGTGTGTGTGTGTGTGTGTGGCGGGGGTCGGGGGGGGGGGGGGTCGTCCATACACGACAGCGTGAAAACTCCAGGCCCTATCGTCTCTCGTCACACGTCATCACAAAACTCCACACTCCTGCCTACAACAAACACGTCATCACAAAACTCCACACTCCTGCCTACAACAAACACGTCATCACAAAACTCCACACTCCTGCCTACAACAAACACGTCATCACAAAACTCCACACTCCTGCCTACAACAAACACGGCGTCACAAAGTTATAACCACCCCTCCCACCCTTCCTTCAAATACAAATATTCAAAACGTTTTAAATGTTAAGCAAAAATTTCAAGTGCCCCCCCCCCCCCCCGGAGAAAAAAGTCTGGAAGATACACTGGGTCAGCACCAACTCAAGCTATTGCCCATAAGCCAGACAGGCTAAATCTTTATTGGCTCAAGCTATTGCTCATAAGCCTAACAGGCTACAACAGGAATAACAATAGAGCATTTCGCACACCCATATTATTTGCTGCTAGTCACGTGGGGGTCCTGAAAGTTTTTTGCTACTAGTATTCCAGTATGTTAAGATCCGAACACGTTATTTGCAGGTTAGCAAGCGCGCGGTCTAGGCCGCGTCCTTCTTTTTCTTCGTGTCAACATGTTATGCGGTTGGCCGTTGACTCCGATTTTGCCTGCTTTTTTTGTTTGGATTTCGCAACCAAGAACAACTACTTGGCAGCAGTTGTTTAATTTTGGAGTTGTCTCTCCTAGATGTGCCCAGCTATCAAGCTCATCTGCCCGGGGATTCGAACTCGGGACTTTTCGTTTCAGCAACGATAGTTAACCGAGACCCGACTACGCCGACCTCCTTCTAATTTCACTAACGACTAATGTGCTAAAGTTTCTTTTTCAAACCTGACGGTCTATGGGGCAAGTGAAGTAGAGTTCACTTGTTTCTGTGACCTCGGCATATGAAGAGATAGCGTGGTCAGCATTATGCCCAGCCTAACGTGAGTTAGGGACGGTCTACTAACTTGGACCCGGGTTCGAACTCGAGACTTACGAGTTAGCAGTAAAGCTCTCTACCGCTAGACCACTCCGTTCCATACTAATGTGCTAGTAAAACAAGTATGATGTACGAGTGAAGAGTTTTTTCCCTGTATCAGCTAAATCCGTCCCCAAACCTTACTAGTCTTGGCCTTGTAAAATATCGATTCGTTTAAAAAGAATGTATTTTATTCTTAATCATCCTTTGATACCATGACCATCTGAATGTTTTTCTCCCACCCCCTTACACCCAGACTCCCTCCAGAGAAACCAGTACCGTCAGTTTCTGGTGCGGCAGGAAGAGATCAAAGAACTCAAGTTATTGTGCGGCCTCCAGACACAACAAAGGAACGTCCGACCCGACATCCAGCGAAGCATGAGCGCAGGGTACACGTCACATCTGCAAACCCGGCGCCAAATGACGGCGACAAAACATGAATCGGAATTCAACCCGGCTCAGTCTTTCAGCGAGCTGACGATTAAAAAAGTTCAATCGGATATGAACGATAAACAATTGAACGAAAAGAAATTAATGACGGTATCGATACCGAATATCGACGACGAATCGGAAACCACGAGTGTGTATTCAAGCCTGATGGACAGCGAGCGCGATGACGTCATGTCGACTGCTGTCGCGCCCGCCGCGCACGCTGCTACGGGGAGCAGACCTCCAACGGTGTTGAAAAAAAAGCGCGCGAAATTTGTCGAGTACCCCATCCACTGGTACACCACCGTGGTGCCTGCGACTGACGTCATCGTCAAACGGACGCCCTCGAGTTCTTTCTCCAGGAAATCCGCTTCCAGTGAAAGACCAGGCCGACCCCACACTTCCAACAGCAGGAGCCTGGACTCCAGGGGGTCGAGAAAATCTGGAAGGAACCCCTCACCCGCCCCTTCGCAAGGCCTCTTCTCTCACCCCACCGTGCGGCCGCCCACGAAAACAAGACGGCAGCTTCTGGAGATGGCGCATCAGGCGAGCTTCAAGACGGAGGAGGACAGGTACTCCGGCACGCTGAGGAAGTTGATGGAGGTCAACCGAGAGGACGGTAAGAGACTGGAGAGCAAGGTCAAGGATTTTATACGGTCTTTGACCGAATATAAAAGTTAAAACGTTTTAAAGATTGAGAGTATCCCGGTGTTGCAGTGAGTGACCACGTGACTTTGTAAAAGCTGCTAATGTGAATTCTGTTTTTAAATTTGAACTGTTATAACTGTTGCTATTTCCTTGTATTTAAATAAATCATATTGTATTTTGTTTGTTAAAAACCTAAATTTTTATAACTATTATTTTTATTTTTATTTAAATAAACTCATACCGTACTTCATTTAAATTTGGAAACAAGATTTTTGTTTTGAAATAATCAACGATTCAATGCTCCGATAGAAAGATACTTATGCGATGTTAATTGTTATACGTATTAACCAAGTAAGCCCATAGAAATTATTTGAACAACCTCAAGACATAGCCTAAGCTATAAAAGGCCTAATGATTTCATAACAATACAAAGTATATGCTGCAATTTAACCTTATCCAGAGTTTCTTCCAGGCATCTCTTCGGGGGGGGGGGGGGGGGGGGGGGCTAGGCGCCACCCCCCCCCCCCGGCGAAAAAATAAGTCTGGAAGAAACACTGACCTTTTCTGGGTAGCACTTAAGGAACGGACGCCCTGAAGTGGAAAATAAACGGAAAGCAGATTAAGAGTCCTTCTATATTTTACACAGAGCGCGTTATAAAAATACGAATACAAGAATGGCAGTTAGAACATAGAACGTACGACGGCTAACCGGGAAGTCTCGAGTTCGAATCCCGAGCTCCGAATTCCTAGGACGTCACCTAGTCTACCCAGTTCTGATGAGTACCCAACTCACCTTACGGAAAGTAAGGGCATAGCGCTTGACCACCTTGTCTCTTCATATGCCGAGTTCACAGAAGCTGGTTTACTCTACATCATCTGTCATTTTCGAAAATGTAACTTCCTTAATACGAAGAGATATGCTTTCCCATCCAAGTACTGTAGCGGGGAGGGAGGGGGGGGGTGTATGTTGGCGGGGGTGGGGTATAATAAGATGACACCATCATTACGGGTGTCGCCAAAGAAGACGATCGCACATTCGATGAATATACGATTAAGACCTATATGCCGAGTTTAACTAGTACAGCCTACAGAGTTTGTAATATACGTTACAATACGATTTCCTGTAGTTTTAGGTGAATTTCTTTCAAGTGGGCCTGTCCCCCTCAAGCACGTCCAATTCCCCACCTCTTGGAATTTAAAGTGCGCCAGCTCCCCCAAAGTTTCATGTGCCAACCCCCCCCCCCCCCCCCCCTTCCCTGGAAATGTCCGTGAGAATCCCTGATCCCAATTATCTGAGAATCCCTTATCCCAATAAATCAGAGTGCTGCGCCCAAGTTCAATGACCTCACTAGGCATACAGCAACTACAACACAATTATCGAAACAAAACAACAGAGTGGCTTTCTAGTACATATATGGCATAGGGGAAGGCTGGAATATTGTAGGAGATCATTTTAAAATGCTGATTTTTGTTCTGACAAACTGAAATTTTTGAAATCTAAGTTGACACAATAATAAGATGAATAGTTATAAAGAGCACTTTATTGTCAGCAAATGATACAGCAATTCACAAGAACAGAAACAACAAGGAACAAGTCTTTCTGACCTTTTTTTTTCCACAATTAAAGTTGTTCTCAAGGAACAATTAAAGATCTATTTACAACTTCCTTTCACAGGCTTGGTTGTCTTGCCATGAAAGGGTTAATTTTAAAATATTATATAGAATTTGTAACATGCTTTCAAAAAATATTATGATACATAATACATATTTTCTTTTAAAAATAAAATTGTGTAAATTACTAATTAAAGCAATTTTAAAAATCATACTATGGGGTCACTAAATTAGTTAAACTTAGCTTGTTTAAAAAAAAAACAGCTTATCTTTAATAGGTAAAACAAATAAATATTTATTTTTATACTCTATATAGACTCTATAATTAAAATATTTTATATTTAATTTCTAATACACATAACAGTGTATGCTGAAAATGTGTAAGTTTCTAAGTGGACTTCCTATTACTTCATTACATGATTTTTAAATACATGGAAATTTTACAATAATTTTTTTTGCATTTTTATGTTTAGGGATAAAACTTTAAAAAATAAGATTTTTATAATTAAAAAATAAGTCTTTTATTTCAAAAATAAATTTTAATGAAAGTAATACATATTATTTTTTTTTATATAAAGAGATATTTTAAAAACTATTTGTAAATCTAAGTTCAAAATTAAAATTCAAAAAGTCAGTCATAACACATTCAATTGAATTTTTACTTAGATATAAATATGGATACATATTTAATAATTGTAAAACAAAAAAAAAACCATGCATACAAATACTTTATAAACAATAATTGTATTTAATAACTTAAAAATAAAACAAAAGATTCATACTCATTCAAAATTTCATATCAGACCAAAATATGTCATTCAAATATGTAGGCAACTTCTAATTATTTGGTTGCCATTTTAATTTATTTAAAAAATGCTTTTTATTTTATGCATATTACTTTCAAATACCTCGAAGCAGCTCCTCTTTTCATATTTTAATCAGTAAACCATTAACATTTTAATATAGACACTTATCACATAAATTTGAATATAAAATGTATATGTGAACATTTCCATAAAATATACTTCACAACAGAGGGCACGGGTAGACTAAGACAATAACTTTGTATATGAATATAGTCATATGATGAATGTATAGAGTGACATAATATGTAGCTTTATGTCAGGGGTTGAATATTAATTCCATATGGTGATTATCACAGAAAGACACAGAAAATCAATACAGAACAATGCTTTAACAAGAACATGGTTTAAAATAAGGACATTTTATTTCAATTATCAAACTGATTGTAAGGAAATTTTGTTTCAGTTATTAAACTGATTGTAATGAAATTTTTTTTCAATTTTCAAACTGATTGTAAGGAAATTTTGTTTCAGTTTTTAAAATGATTGTAAGGAAATTTAGTTTCAGTTTTTAAACTGATTGTACATAAAACTTAAGAGATTACTTGGTACAAGAGATTAAGTTTCAGGTATTTACTGTAAATAATTGAGAAGGTTTAAAAAATAGTTTCAATTATCAAACTGATTGTAAGTAATTTAGTAAGTTTTAAAATTAAAATACATTCAATCTCATGAGCAATTATTTTTTTTGTAAAATGTTAAAAGTTAGAAAAAAAAATTAACAATAAAAGTTGTTTTGTTCAATCAAGATAAGTTGTAAACCAGCCACCTTAAATATACTATCTGTAAGTATAGTATCCAATAGATAAAACAAAAACATGTAAGTGTTTTAAGAAACATTAAAAATTAATTGCAGACATCATTAAATATTTACTTTTTGTTAATTTTCAAAGACTTTTTCCAATAGTTTCAGTTGAATACTGATATCTGTTCAGACTTCTTTTAGTTTTAACAACATCAACTGCGGAGCTATATATAAAGATGATAAACTTGTTACCATAAGCACCTACAGCAATCAAATTTTGGTTACATTAGGCTTTACTACACATATAATAGGACGTAATTATTTCTGTTGACACATCTCTGTGCACTGTACACTTATAGATCACTAACTGACTAACTGAAGGTTTACCCAGGACAAACTAAAAAATAGGCACCAAACCTATTTGAAACTAAAAGTGTATATTAGTAGGTCATTGTGTAAATTAGTAAAGAGGAGATTTTAAAAAATATTAAACCCATTTTCTTATTAACTTTGAAATACTTATTAGTTTGAAGTATGTGAAACACACAATGCAGATTCCTTTTATTTTTATTTTAGTATGAATGGAAATGTATTAATATAATTTATTTATAAATTAAAAAAATAAGCTTTATCTAAATGTATCTAATAGGTATGGCTTAAATACGAGGTTGTTGCAATTCAATGCCTAATTCATTTTAAAGTGTCAAGGATGTTGTTTAATGTTGGAATTTTCAACTAACAATTTCATATGTGAGTGCTATTCTCATAGTCGTATTGACTTTGTCTGGAATGTAATCACCATATTTATTTCCAAGTTGACTCTTTCAAAATGACATGGATTTCTGAACTGGAATTATTTCTAACTATGGATCTATAAACTATCAGACACAATTTGTTTTAGATATATTAACTAATTTGAATGAATCAGTTGTTTTTTTTAAAACAGTCCTGTAGAAACATAGTGTACACACAAGTAAGCAATCTATTCATGAAAAAAATTTAGCACTTATAAAGTCAGAACAGAAATCAGCAATTCTTAGTTGTCTTTAAAATTTAATCAGCTTAATAATATTTAAGTTGGCTGAAAAAAATTATAACTGATATATAAAACAAAGTTATTCAATTCAGGAATGAAGAAAGTTATTGCACAGAATATATAAAATAGTTATATTTTTTAAAAATAATTCATTTTATTTACAATTCCAATACAAAGAAACTATTATACAAGATCATTACAACATTTGTAATTGTTATATAACAATAACAAAAGTAAAATTTTACATGCAGGTTCCATCTCACATTACATAACAAAAAGAGGTAAAATAAAAAACGTAACGTCAACGATAAAAAAAAAATTACACAAAATATTCCCTAACAATCTTGAAAATACAAGCAGAGTGAAGCTACTGAGACTCATTGCTACCCTGCAGGGAATGGGAAATATTGTTTCCATTGGTTACGTATAAACCTATAAAAGTACAAAGTATATCTAGATACCAAAAACAAAACAAATCTAACACAAACATCACAACAGTTTTAAACTTTAAGGCTGTCATTGTTCCCTTAAATCAGTTTTTAATGCACAACAATTTACTCATACACAGAGAATTGATTGCACAATAAGCAGCAGAAACATTCAAAATCACAATAAATAAATAACTTTGAAACAAGTATGTTTGTTATTGTATTAAGCAGCCATAAATAGCTTGTCTGTCTTCTGAAATTCTTTCTGAACATAAAAGACACATTTTTAAATTATATTTATAAACATGTAACTTTAAAAAAAAAATAATTTTGTATAAAAAATTTGGTTTCTATATATTTTGTCAAATGCCAGCCTCAAACATAAATGCTCTAATTGTGTTCTTTTAATACAATTTTCATTTAGAAGTAACAGAATTGTCTTTTTAATCCATTTATGATGCTGTCTTTATGCAATTAAAAAACATTTATTTTTTTATATTTATTATCCATTTCTGAAAGAAACAGAATTTTTACAGTAAAATCTTCACGATATTCATAATGCTGGTTTTAGAATCTTCTCACAAGTTATTCCAGATAGAAATTGCTTATGTAGAAAATGAGCAAGAAAAAAAAAAGGAAGGAGCAGAAGGGTAAGACTTGAGAATTTACTTCCGTAGAATGTGCCACATGGCCACGGACTTCCTCTGGTTTGTCAGCATATCTTTCCAATGTCCCTGCTCCTCACCCGGCTTGTCCGTCCCACCCAACAGACAGCGACCCAGCAGCTCGCCGTGACCTATGAGGTCATGGTCAAGGACACTGACTTCTAGGCTAACTTTAGGCAAAACTTCAGCAGGAACGTTAAAAGCGAGAGCCTCGTTCCACACGGGATTGATGGAGCCTCGTCTGACTGATGTTTTCTTTCTCTTGACTTTTTTACCATCCACCATCAGAGATACTCGGACAAAAGGATCTGAAAAATAAAATAAATACATATTTGTTTTCTTATTTAAAAAAATATTCTAGCCTATGGAATATTCAGGATTGTATGAAATACTAGAAAAGTTTGGTTAAAAAAAAAACGTATATGCTATGAGAGATGGTGTAAAGGAGAAAGGAGTTGGTCGTTGATTAAACCGAGGAATGCAGCAAAAAATTTAGAAACTGCAGATCTGTTAAGTAGGTAAAACATAAAGAGGTTTAATGTAATAAAATTAGGAAGAAAAGACAACGAAAATAATTCAATCTGTCTACATCATTGTTACTTCCCTTTATTTGGTACAGTTTAATTAAAAACTATTAGAAAACAACTCACATTGGTAAGGCTGATAATATATTCTAATTGAATTTAGGCAAGGGTGAGTTAACTAAACCATAAATAAAAAAACAGGGTACCAGCAGAAGGGGCAGCAGTGGAGAGTTTGAGCTCTTTAGCCTTCATGATGACCACTGTAAGTCTTTCAGCTGTAGGGAGGTAACTCAGTGAGATAAGTATCTCTCCACTCTCCCCAGCTACCTGAAGATAGATAGATTCATGATCATTGAGGAAGGGAGTTCTAGCATTATCAAATATTTTTAGCTATTGTATTCATATGTTGTTTTTATTATAAAATCAAAATATTGAAAAACGACTTACATTATAATTCATTACTTATAACAACCCAGCACAAGTTGGGGAACATGGTAGGTATAAGTGGGGAACATGGCAGGTACTAGTTAGGGAACATGGTAGGTATAGGTGGGGAACAGGGTAGGTATAAGTGGGGAACATGGTAGGTATAAGTGGGGAACATGGTAGGTACTAGGTGAGGAACACAATAGGTATAAGTGGGGAACATGATATGTATAAGTGGGGAACATGATAGATATAAGTGGGGAACATGATAGGTATAAGTGGGGAACATGGTAGGTACTAGTTGTGGAACAATGTAGGTATAAGTAGGGAACATGGTAGGAACTAGGTGAGGAACATGGTAGGTACTAGGTTAGGAACATGGTAGATATAAGTGGGGAACATGGTAGATACTAGGTGTGGAACAAGGTAGGTATATGTTGGGAACAATGGTAGGTATAAGTGGGGAACATGGTAGGTACTAGGTTAGGAACAAGGTAGGTATATGTTGGGAACAATGGTAGGTAATAGATCTATGTGGGGAACATGGCAGATAATAGTCAATGATTGGAGCCATGTCAAATATTTGCCAGTACATGGCACAAATGCCAATTTCTTGAGGGCATTACAGATCAATGTATTCTACAGTCGAATTAATTCAGTTAAATAAAACACTACATTTGTAGGAATAAAATGTAGATCTAACTATTTGCCTGTCAAACCCAACAACAAAACGATAACAAGAAACACAAAACAATCATAACATGAGTAGTGAGCAGGCTACCGGTGAAGATAAAATCAAACCAGCTCACCGTAAATACATATCGATTGGCTTCTAAAAATAGTCACCTGACCTATTTAAAATTGAAATCAAACAAGCAGGACAGTCGTCCACACACAAACAGACACACGACTTGCCTTGTGTTGTTTCTGGACGTCACACCACATCTCCACACTGTTGCTGACGTCCACGTTGGCCATGCTGATCTCGACCTCACCCAATGAAGTGTGGCGGGAGAATTTATCGTAATCATAAAGATGAAACACCAGCGTTTTCTCCTGAGGAAGGAGAGAGAGAAATGTAGACGAGGTTGGTAGTTCGCTTGGTCGGAGTCTGAATGAATACTTAAGAGAATGGAACAGATGTTTACTAAAGGAAATCTATAATAGAAAAAAAAATCATGGTGTTAACATGGATTGGTTTCAGTTAGCCTATTGTGTATGTGTGTGTGGGGGGTAGGGGGGGGGGGGTTTGGGGGGGGGGGGCAGGTGGGACGAGTAGGGGATGCGAGGGGGCCTTCTACCCCTACTGGAAGAGTTAGATTATTTAAAAATAGACTAAAAATAAAAATTCCATGACGCTTCACTCCCCTTATTTTAAATATACCTGGGCTCTGCTGTCTCTTCTCCCCCCCCACACACACTCAGTCAGGATCGTCTCAAGGGGGGGGGGGGTCCAATTTTTACCCGGGGACAAACTTTCGATTTGCACCCCCCCCCCTCAAACTTTCGATTTGCACCCCCCCCCCCCCCCTCAAACTTTCGATTTGCACCCCCCTCAAACTTTCGATTTGCACCCCCCTCAAACTTTCGATTTGCACCCCCCCCCCTCAAACTTTCGATTTGCACCCCCCTCATACTTTTTATATATATACCGAGGGGTCTATGGGGGGGTTATGACCCACCCCTGCCTACGCCACTGCACACACTGCCTTAGTGTCATGTGTCATTCATTGATTAAACCAAAGTTTTATTTAAAATCATATCTTGTTTTCGAAATAAAATTAAAAACGGACTTCGGATATTAAAATAAATGGGTTAATTAGTTTTTAAAATAAATTTGATCTATGATTGTTTGGATGCTAGATTTGATCATGGCTGGCGGATTTTTAAAAAAAAATGAGTAAAGGTTTTTTAAGTTATTTCTGTTCTATATGGAGAGAGACGGATTTATAAAAACGCAAAATGAAAATGATATAAATTTTAGGTGCGACATTTTTAAAAGACTCTCACGATATTCTCTTTTACATTTATTAGATTTCTGATTTTTAAAACATTAAATACAAGAGGAAAGAAAGCGCACTTGAAATATTCGGGAGGGGGGCGGACACTGATAAAAGTATATATTTTCTATTTCGTTCGAGGGGGGAGGGGTGCGAAGAGGTGCCAGGAAGAAGCTCTGCCTGTAGGTAACATATCGTTTAAAAAATGTTAAGACCATTTTTAAAAGTCAACCCAGCAGCCGCCATCGCTACCTTAAGGTTACCTTAACGGCCCGATGGCAAGCTATACTTTCTCCATTCCCAGCACTCCTCTACTTCACCTGCCATCATCTCGCACTATGAAAACTTAAGGTGTGCGAGTTAGCCTTCTCATTCTTAGAGTAACGCTATATCAATAGGTAATGCGTATAATTCAACTTTATCCTAGCCATTCATCATAAATATGTCAACTTTTTGTATGTACCGTATGTTTAAAAAAAACGGGTTAGAATCAATAAATACTCAAGTCCAAATACTGTGCCGGGTCAGGGTGAACTCTTGATTTTCCACACCTTATAAATAGCTCATAGCGTTAACTACATACTTAGTGCGGAGTTTTAGTTTAATTATGTTCAATACGAAAAAATATAATGTTAACAAATCTATATGTATTGTTTAAAAAAGTAATTAAAATGCAAAAAAATATAATTAAATCTGAGGCGGCAGATGTGAAGCAATTAAAAATATTCATCATAAAGCACAAATACCGGTGGCGTAGCTATGGGGGGTGTTAGACCTGGGCGAGCCGCACCCCTCTCACCATCATTCATAACGCCAGTGATGAAAACCCACGTACCTTCAAGTCATCAAAATCAAGGGGAAACTTGAAATATTCATTGAAGTATGGATTCAACGTTCGCCTCTTGACGGACGACTGTCGGACTCTTTCATCCACACACGGGACCAGGGAGATCCGGATGTAGGGGTCGCTGAAATTCCCGGACACGGGGTCGGGGGCGGGAAGGTCTTGTGCTAAAAGTAGATGAAAGGGGTTTATAGAAAGTGTATTTTTTATGTCATATACATTTCTTGTATACATAGTTAAAATAACAAGTTAAATATAAAATTATCAAGTTTATAGTTTTAATTCGTTGTAATGTAATTTAGAGTACGTGATATATATATATATATATATATATATATATATATATATATATATATATATATATATATATATATATATATATATATAAAACTAAAAGCTTCAATGCAAAATTACATTTATTTTTTTAAAAATCGATAGTGTATTAAAATCATTAGATGAAAATTGATTTTCTGAATGACATGAAAATTAAATTAGCAGACACATTTAAAAATAAATTAGGTTAGCAGAAAATATAATTATGCAAGTGTCTATTAAATGGCCAACGGCACTATATCGATGTGATCAATGAAGGATTAAGTTACAGGTAGATGTTACTGCCAGTTACCTTCTATTAAATGAACTACTAAATCACAGGTTCTGAAGTCGTATTTGAGTCGTGTGTGAAGTCGGCCTTGACCCCCGTCTAAAGAGGATTGTTGAAGTACAATATCCTTCCTGGGGTAAAGGTCGGGACGGATCGCACCTGGAAAATACAACAATGTCAATTAATCAACTTATAAATATATCACTTTATAGATATATCGCCGCATAGATATTACCTTATAGTTATATATCTTTATAATTATATCGCTTAATAGATATATCACCTTATAGATATTATTCAATTGATATGTCACCTTATGGAAATATCACTTTATATAACCGGTTTAGCGGGTTTAACAGTTCGTGCAAAAGATACACATCGAAAAAGTTGTAACTGAATGTGCATCAGAGCTATTAAATGACACTTATATAACTCAATTCCGAAACACTCTGGAATGGGAGAAAAAATTAAACCTTCTTGAACAGGTTTATTTTAACTACCTGTTTGGAAAAGTCGGGAAAGTGTGAAAAAAAAGAAAGATCAGGCACAATTATATTAGGTGAAGATTAAGTTATGTTTAGTTTAGTGATTTATCAAATACAGTATCAAGCACATTATGATGAACCGCTTAAATATGACAGGCAGAATACTGTATGTAAACTAATAACCCATATCAAACTCCAATGCTGTATATATATATATATATATATATATATATATATATATATATATATATATATATATATATATATAAAACTACATATTTTTATATGTATACGTGTAACATATATAACTTATTTTTGACATTGTGAAAAGTGACACATTAGATGTACACATATACCTACTTGTTTTAGCCATTAGAACACTCGATGGACCAAATCCCGTGGGTACAAGGAATTGCGCACTATATTTATCACCGTACTACCATGTCATTGTCTGGTCAAAAAAAATCAGTACTACAAGAACCTCCAAACTACCTGTATCTTAATAGCCCATACCATAAGTACCTCTACACTACGAATATCTTAATCGCCCATAACACACAAATATTCACACAAGGAATATCTCAATAGTCCATACCACAAGAATCTTCACACAATGAATATCTTAATAGTCCATACCACAAAACCTCCAAACTACAAATATCTCAATAGTAGGCCTACAATGCCATTGCAACTTCACAGAATCACAACTATTCAGACGCGAATCCTTCACAACAAACCCCAGCTCCACAATATCCTACAAGAAATGTTTCGTTACCTAGAATAAAGAGACTACGGCTCCACAATATCCTAAAAGCAATGTTTAGTTACCTAGAGTCAAGGGACCACAACCCCACAATATCCTACAAGAAATGTTTCGTTACCTAGAGTCAAGCGACCACGGCTTCACAATATCCTACAAGAAATGTTTCGTTACCTAGAGTCAAGCGACCCCGGCTCCACAATATCCTACAAGAAATGTTTCGTTACCTAGAGTCAAGCGACCACAACTCCACAATATCCTACAAGAAATGTTTCGTTACCTAGAGTCAAGCGACCACAACTCCACAATATCCTACAAGAAATGTTTCGTTACCTAGAGTCAAGCGACCCCGGCTCCACAATATCCTACAAGAAATGTTTCGTTACCTAGAATCAAGCGACCACAACTCCACAATATCCTAGAAGAAATGTTTCGTTACCTAGAATAAAGCGACTCACTGCTTCGGTTGTTGAACCAGCCAATCAATCACCCGGTGTTATACTTGTCGGTAGCAACAATATTATCCATCCCACTCAGATTTATCTCCCAGTTATGATACTCCACGCCGAGAACAAGGGGGGAGGGGGGGGGGGAGATGGAGGGCGTTAATTAAAAACAAACATCTGCGGTACCACCAAACACAATATTGCATTCGTGGTTTGTGTAACACATTATATGGGCTGTGATTCAATTGTAAGGAGAATTACTTAAAGCAAAGACTGACACAAGGGGTCCTGTGAATGCTCTCATTAGGGGTGGGATTAATTAAGTGAAGTGCTTTGAGGACAAGAGATTTGTTATTTGATGGTGTACATAGATTACCTAACTTGTCTAAGGACAGATATTACTTAGGATTGGGATATTACATGCATTACTTAGATAATGCGTGGTCAAGCACAAAGATTTTAGAGGTGGAATTAATTAAGTGAAGTGCTTTGAGGACAAGAGATTTGTAATTAGATGGTGTACATAGATTACCTAACTTGTCCTAGTAAAGATATTACTGAGCATTGGGAAATTACATACATTACTTAAGTAAAGTATGATCAAGCACAAAAGTTTATATAGCTTGGTAAAGTACATAGATAGCTTAGCTTAGTAAATATATTAATTAGCTTTGGCAAGAACTTATAACATAGCTTGGTCAAGAACTATTATGTAATTATCATTTTAATTTATAAGTTTGAAATATATCAAATTTATAAATAAATGTTGTTGAACTGCAATTATTTTAAAAAAATTATTAATTTCGTTAACGATGTGGACTTTTAAAGTTTTGAACTTCAAATGTCTTATTGAGAGCAATGAACATGTAGAAAAAGAATATCAAGCTTAATTTAGCATCATATTGATTATCTCTCTCTCTCTCTCTCTCTCTCTCTCTATTTATCTATCTGTTTAGGCCTAAATACAATTTAACATGTCGTGCAAAAATAATTTAGTGTTTCCTTAGTCTTCTATATTTTCAATATAACAATAATAAACCGGGAGTGATCTCCCCTAAACTTTCTCGAATATTTTTATATAAAATAACAGGGGATGGGAACTCGGGCTATAGACATGATTTTTAATCCATTTTAAATACTTAAAGTTTTAAAAATAGAATAAAATCTCGTAGACAAATTAATTGCACACCAAGTGAACGCGAAATAAAAAAGCGCATAATAGTGCGCAATATTATTAGTACTTTTAAAATTTACATTAGTTTTTTGAGAACTCGGAAGTAGCGTAAATTACTACTTCCGGTCAACGGAAATTACTCAAAATTTAACAGAAGGTAGAGAATTAGATCTTTTACTTACATGTGAAATTTCATTTATCTATCTGAAATAGTACTCAAGTTATAGGCTTTTGAAAAATTCAAAGTAGAAAAAGTACCACTTCCGGTTATCGGAAATCGCTCAAAAGTTGATACGGATCTACGATTTTGATAAAATACTTATATATGAAATTTCATCAACCTAGCAGTAACGGTACTCAAGTTATCGTGTTTACACACGGACACACACACAGACACACAGACACACACACACACACAGACATACGGACAAGATTGCAAAATTATGTTTTTCCGTATCAGTGAGGTGTAAAACGTCGAGATTTGTAAAAATCTCGATTTTTTTTTTGCACGATTACAATACTTTCTCTATACTACGTATATACGAGAAAGTAAAAATAGAGCATGTTCATTACATATTACACGTTTGAATGGTAGATTATTTGAATTCCCGTAGTACAGCCGACTTATGACTACCCTAATAACATGCGTAAGTATATAGTGAAACAGCTAAATTTCACTGTGTGATGACTTAATGTTACACGATGGTTGAGTATCTTTACATTTACACACATCGTTTATTGAATTGATGACTTTATTAGAAAAAAACCCCACTACAATTACCAGAAATGAACAAATCTAAATGCATAAGGGAAAAAATAGAACTCCGTGAATTAAGGCACATCGAATTTTATACACAACGTCATTTAGATAACACTTTTTAAGTGCAGCACCTTCAAAACAAAAGCATCCTGAAAAACAAACTAAAAAAATTAATCAAACCTTATCTTAAATATTCAACACTTTTATAATCTAGGCTCACAAACCAATCAGAACATTTTTTAGGATTGAAAAAAAATATCCCTCAAAGTTCACCACATTATCAGTTTTATCATTTAAATAGCTAACCACAGAACCGAACTATTTTTAGCATCAGCCTTCAGCGTATGACGTCAGCAGAATTTCGGTACACAATCCTTCCCGTCTGCTGGATGGTTTGATCCAAAACATTACCGTCAAGAATAAAACTAAACCTCAAAATTTGTTCCCCCTCTGGATTAATCTATGGATGTTTCAGACGTGCAAACACATTAACGTGTTTAATCCTCATCCATCTCAAGCAGACGATCTTGCTCAACGTCTGCTAAAAAAATTAGAGCACACGGTGACGGGGTAGAAGCGAGGATGTTGCTACTGTTGCTGTCGACAAGTTTTGGGGATTTTTACTGTCGATTGGGCAATCTTGGTTCAAGTATTTTGTCACAGTGTCACCAGTTATAAACGTATTTTTGTTCATGTCACCAGTTATAAACCTTGTCAGTGTCACCAGTTATAAACATATTTTTTCATGTCACCATTTATAAACGTATTTTTTCATGTCACTAGCTATAAACGTATTTTTTCATGTCACCAGTTATAAACGTATTTTTTCATGTCACCATTTATAAACGTATTTTTTCATGTCACTAGTTATAAACGTATTTTTTCATGTCACCAGTTATAAACGTATTTTTTCATGTCACCATTTATAAACGTATTTTTTCATGTCACTAGCTATAAACGTATTTTTTCATGTCGCCATTCATAAAAGTATTTTTCATGTCACTAGTTATAAACGTATTTTATTTTTTCATGTCACCAGTTATAAATGTATTGTCACAATTGATACTCTATTGTGTCACCATTGATAAACATAATTTGTCCAGTATTCACCATTGATTAATAAATTTTGTCCCGGTGTCAGCAATGATACTCTATTGTATCACCATTGATACTCTATTGTATCACCATTGATACTCTATTGTGTCACCAATGATACTCTATTGTGTCACCAATGATACTCTATTGTGTCACCATTGATACTCTATTGTGTCACCAATGATACTCTAATGTGTCACCAATGATACTCTATTGTGTCACCAATGATACTCTATTGTGTCACCAATGATACTCTAGTGTGTCACCAATGATACTCTATTGTGTCAACAATGAGTGATAAAATATTGTAAGTTTCTCCATGGGTCACCAGTGACGAAATATTGAACGATTATCCGTGTGAAACAATTTTACGACGCTCGTAGTGTTTTCTTGGAGATTCGAACTGTTTTAACGGCCATTGTCAGAGTAGGTTA